ATAGAAGTGTATTAGGCTACATTCACCCCTCTATTTTAGGTGCAATTAGGGATTTCTGCATCAGGAACTTGCGTTTTCCTGCAGCAGAAATCCCTAAATTGGCGTTTACAAATGGCAGTTGTCACCAAAGTTCATTGATCAGGTGACAGCAGCTGCATGTAAACACCTGCACACCGCATGTAATGATGTGATATAATTACATTCGGTTAGGAATCCATCACTCTCCCTGTACGCAATGATTGTGCATCCAGGGAGAGTGTTTTCTGATCATTAACCTGAATGGGTGATAGCTGCCACTTGTAAATGCCAGATTAGGGATTTCTGCTGCAGTAAAACACAAGTTTCTGATGCAGGACTCCCTAATCGCACCTAAACCTACAGATATGAAAGGGGCTGTATTGTGTATATTGGTGTCTGTAGTACCAAACCGGATACAGTTAAATTTTATTTTATAGTATGAAATTTGGCAAGTGGCCCCCATGGGAGAAAAACATTTGTCGAGTGGCCCCCGAGACGGAAGAGGCGGGGGGCGAAGACGGAAGAGGTGGTGGGCAGAGACACAGATGGGAGAGGCGTTGCCGTAGCTGCAGTTGGGCAGCGAAGATGACAAGGAGGCCGTGTCGGGCGCGGAGGACAAGGAGGCCGTGTTCCAAAGAGGTTAGGCCGTGCAAGGTAAGAGGACTGTGCTGGCAGAGCCCAGCTTACATTCTGCACAGCCCACCATTCTGCAATACCCTTTGGTGGGCTCTGCAAGATCCGTAGGGGGCTCTGCAGTTTGGAAAGCTCACTGCAGATCCTGCACAACCCCTCTGAGATCCTGCAGACAGGGTCTCAGGGCGTCTCTGCAGGATCTGTGGGGGGGTGTGCACGATCTGTCGGGGGCTTTGCCGGGTCTCAGTGGGGCTGTGCAGGATCTGTGAAGGGCTCAGCCGGGTCTCAGGGGGGCTTTGCCTGCAAAGCCCACCACAGATCCTGCACAGCCCCCTGAGACTGCAGGGTCTCTGCAGGATCTGTGGGGGGGTGTGCACGATCTGTCGGGGGCTTTGCCTAGAGCTGTTATAGCGGCAAAGGGCGGAGCCAACCCAATAGTGAACCCTACGGACTAAGACTGGGATGTCTTGAGAGGGCGGAGCCAACCCAATACTGAACCCTACGGAATAAGACTGGGGGGCCATTAAACTTCATGTGCGTGTAAAGAGGTCCCAATACTTTTGGCAATATAGTGTATATATACTGTATTTACAGTGGCGGACCTAGGGAACAAAGGGTGGTGGGGAAGGCTGCATAAAAACGTGTGTGTGTCTTGCCTAGGGCAGCCCCAAACCAGAATACACCCCTGGCTGTAGCCCTAAAGTCCAGTTCAATAGAAAGACCGGTGTGTGCTTCTGTGAGTGACTGGAGATGTGTAAGGAGCAGTGGTGGAACTGCAGCCGGTTCAGTGCGCCCGTGTACTCAGGCGGCTGTTTGCTGGGTTCTCATGGCCAAGGCCCAGGGCTGCCCCCTGGGGTGCCTGGCGGCTTTTTTATTCTCGGCTCCCTCTTCAGTATCCAGCGGGGCCCCTCATATCTGCGCCAGGAGTATTGGATGACACTCCCGACGCCGAGATGAGGGGGCCCGCTGGCTGCTGGATACCAATGTGATCATCGGACACTCCCGGCGCAGAGATGGGGGGGGGCCCGCCGGATACCGATCCGATGCTATCCGGCGGCCGGACAATGATGGGCCCCCCCATCTCTGCCCCGGGCCTGTGTTACATTGGATACTGGGCCCCCCTTTAGGCTCAGGCCAAGGGGCGGCCGCCCGGTGCTAGGTCTGCCCCTGTATTTATCATTTTTATTTAATATTGTTTTATTTTTAAATTCCAAAATTGTCGCCTAGTTTCATGGCATTTACAAGATGAATTCTATAAAATCCCGAGCATAGGTCAATTAAGAAATTGTCATAATAATCTGGCCACTCAGTGTATATAGATATATCTATATAGATGAATTTTTAAAATATTGTAGATGTTACTGTTTATTTAAATGAAATATTTGTGTTCGTTAGCTTTCTTCCTGGTTTTTATATTTCTGTGATTGGTTTAATGTCTCCGATTCCCCGCCCTTCCTCCTCTCCCTCTGCAAGTGCAGTATAAGAAATTTGCTGTGAGCGACTGTGACCCGCATGCGCAGTGGCTAACCATGAAGAATGTTAGGAATGTGAAGAATGTGAAAGAACGCAGTAGGGTATGTAAAAAATGTCCTCGCCCATGTGCCTTCACACGATCCCATGGCAGGAAGTGACGCGGTCCCACATTCCACCGCGGTCCCAATCGATGATATTACACAGTTAGTGAAAGGGAGTGCAGTTAGTGTTCGTGAAAGGGAGTGCGGTTAGTGAAAGGGAGTGCGGTTAGTGTTAGTGAAAAGGGAGTGCAGTTAGTGTTAGTGAAAGGGAGTGCAGTTAGTGTTAGTGTGGGGTCCTGATCAACATATTTTTGGGCCAAAATATATTTTCTTACTCCTAAATATTGAATGCACTAATGGCTTGGAATACACTTTTCAATTCTATATATTAAGTTGTAAGAGTGTTAAAATAAAAGTGGCTATACTGAAGGACTCGGTGGGACAGCCAGTGGATGGAATTAGTGGGAGGGTCAGTGGGTGGACTCGGTGGAACCTCCTATGGTGTGTTGGTGGGGGGGCAGGGGGCCCAGGCCTAAAACCGTGTAAGGTGCCCCAAAGTTTCTGATGGCTGCCCTGAATATGCTATGCAAACACAAGGGGTTAACAAGGGAGTGGATGAGCAGTTTTGCGGTTTCTTTGGTGAGGAAGGGGCTTATTTTGGAGCTGTTAGGAAGGTGAAGGCGGCAATGTTAAGCTTTGAAAATGAAAGTGAGAAGCTGATTGGTTGCCATGGATAACTGTTCCAGATTCTGTAGACTCCAGTATTGATAGATTCCTCCAAGAAGTTTTTCACACCATATGAACACATATAACTCTCATGTCTTCCAAAAGAGGGGCCATCACGCGTAGGTGTCGCTTTGCGATGTATTTAGAGGCCACGCCTCTTTCTCAAGCTACTGTGGGAAACAGGCTATGGGAATAGCCCCACTCCTGGTAGTCCTGCAATGATCTGACTGTTTGGATGCTCTCTCATACATCTGCCTTCATCTACGGCTGAGCTCTTCAGCTTCATTGTTGTATAAGCCAAATGCAGCTTCGGACTATTCCATCTGCCTACATGCTGCTTTTTCCAAACACCATGTGAGTGCATTTTATACTTACGTTGTAAATAAAAGTTTATGTTTGCTTCACACATGATCAGAGGTCCTGGTCATTTCTCTGTGCTTTAAACTCCCCTACCAAGGTAATACCTCTGATTCGAGAGCGATTTACCCACCTACCTGAGCTACCCATGAAGATTCAGGACCTTTGCTTTCACTACGGATTCTAATCACAACGTGAGTGCATTTTTATAGTCTACTGTACCTTTTTGCCCATGAGATAATGCGCTAGGTGGTGCGCTTTCTTTTTTATTATTCAAGAAACACTGCGCTATGACTGGATATCTAAATAAGGAAGGGCCAGCAGCAATTAGGTCTATACATCTGCTGCAGCCATGGAAATATTACAATTCACATTCACACTGACCAAGCGCAACCTGCTTGCCATAAGAGAGGTGCGCTTTCTTTTGTTTGTTCTCTTTTTCTGAAATTCTTACAGATGGTGGCTCTGCCGGCTTGACAAAAGTTGGTTACTCAAGCGACTTT